AAAACCCCATCATAGATTTGCTTTAGGGTCACCATAAAAGCACACAGGAACAACATGTGCCCATTGACTGCAACTGTTCATTCTTTCCTGGATGCTAACCATGGACTCGCAGCCAATAAATCACAGACTAGCACTAAGCTGCCACTTTGAAAAGCACTGCTCTAATCTAAAATCAAGGAAGAAAAGCACAGTGTATCTGGGAAACAAAGACTTTAAATATTCTCTACAATACTGATAAACCCATTTTGTTTGCTCAAGGAAAAAGCTCACATTTCAGGTGTAGACTGCAATGGAAAGAAATGGCAAGATACTGCCAACTCCTATGTCTAAGTACCATGACTTGGGTTACAACTTCACCTCTATGGGAAGGAACTGGAAATCATGTCCTCCCATGCCACTTCACCTGAAAGTTGAAAATCATCCTCAAAGCTGCTGTTTGCTTGAGGGATAAACTGTAGTCACTCTACTCTTTCAGCCAGTATTTTTATTTTATCTTCTCACGAGGCTTTTGAATCAGATCAGTGTTTTGAAATACACTCCCAATTTATTCAGCCCATTTAAGCATAATCCACTCAGTTGTTGTTCTGCAGTTCTTCCCATCATCTTTCACAACAGCCTACACTAAAGGCAAAGGTAAAGGTTTTCCCTTGACATTAAGTCCAGTTAGGTCCAACTCTGGGGTTTTTTGCTCATCTCCATTTCTCAGCTGAAGAGCCGGCGTTGTCTGTAGACACCTTCATGGTCATGTGGCTGGCATGACTGCCGTTACCTTCCCACTGGAGCATTACCTATTGATCCACTCACATTTGCATGTTTTCGAACTGCTAGGTTGGCAGAAGCTGGGGCTAACAGCAGGAGCTCACCCCGCTCCCCAGATTCAAACCTGCGACCTTTCAGTTAGCAAGTTCAGCAGCCCAACGCTTTAACTCAGTGTGCCACCAGGGCACCACTACACTACATTACACTGGCGGATAGCATTTGCAATCCAACATCTGGAGTGTGAGGCACACAGGGCTATGCTAAAATTCTTAACCAGGTTAACCAATTATGTCAGTTTTTGGACTGCAACCCTGCATGAATCCTACAATGCTAAGGCAGGTGGAAGCTGAAGGGCTACAGTTCCCCAGCCTTCCTTTAAAGCAGGGATGGGCAAACTTTGGCCCTCCAGGCGTTTTGAACTTCAACTCCCATGATTCTTAACAGCCTCAGGCCGCTTCCTTTTCCTCCTCAGCCGCTTAAGTGGCTGAAGGGGAGGGAGGGGGAGGAAGGGGTCTGAGGCTGTTAGGAATTATGGGAGTTGGAGTCCAAAACACCTGGAGGACTGAAGTTTGCTCATGCCTGCTTTAAACTTTAGTAAGTTGAAAAGTTCCAAAGGCATTATTAAAAATAGGAATGTTCCTCTAATGGACACTGATGCATGTTCTTTTTTATAATGTAGAGGCCCCTCATTACTTGAGACCCTTAACTGTAACTATAACAAGTCTGTGCATAAACCCACCATTGGGTTTATGCACATTTGCTATCTGTGATACAGTGATTTCAGTCCTACTCTGTACTTAGGTAGACTATGTTCATGTGTATGATTAATTATTCTTTCAAATGATGAGGATCTCTCAGTTCACCAACATCTAGGATTCATCCCCGTCTCCTTCTGACACTAATGGAGAACTCTAGGTTCATTTCACAAGACTTAATATTCAATTTACTTGAATCTAATGTTCACTTTGTTTGCTCAAATGGCCCTATCGAAATTAGGGTGCACATTAGATTAACGTAATATGGTCATCTTAGTGCTGATCCAATGCAAAAGGGGAAGCTGCTTCAGGAGCACCTGGAGCTCCTATTTGGGGAATATTACCTCTAATTTAATGGTCATGGCTCAATGCTATGCAATGCTGGGATTTGTAGTTTGGTGAGGAATCTGGATTCTTTGGCAGAGAAAATTTAAGACCTTACAAAACCACAACTCCTATGATTCCATAGCATTGAGCTATGGGTAGTTAAAGTGGATTCATTTTACAGCATAGATGCACGCCAAGGTTTTATTTTCCATGGCTGAAAGCTTTGGTGTTCTGACACTTCTGTTTTAAAGAAGGCATTCTAAGTACACACCAATTTTAATGTGCATCTTTTTTGTCCATATATATATATATATATATATATATATATATATATATATATATTACACATACACACATATATGTACACACACACAAAGAGCACAGTTTTTGCTGCTGCACATCACATTCAGCAGTTTTTTGTTTTGTTTTTTTTTGGTTTCATAGTTTTGAAAATTGAGTTGTGCATTAGATTCAATGGTGCAGTAGACATGAGTAAATACAGTAGTTAAAACATGTTAATATGGATGCGAAGTCTTTACAGGATGTCCTTATCATCTGAATGTACTTAATTGGTAATAATTATTAACATATGTCACTATCTTTACAATACCAATGGGCTATCAAATTGCCACTACGCATATAAATATACAAAGGGAGAGAATCCACCAGGAATTTCTCTGCAGCACTGAAAGCAGCTTGGGCTGCATCTACACAGTAGAATCAATGCGGTTTGACACCATTTTAACTGCATTGGTTGGATGCAGCACTAAAATCAGCTGGGGCAGCATCTACACAGCAGAATTAACACAGTTTGACACCACTTTAACTGCCTTGTCTGGATACAGGACTAAAATCGGCTGGGGCGACATCTATACAGTAGAATGAATGCAGTTTGACACCACTTTAACTGCCTTGGTTGGATGCTATGGAATCCTGGGGTTTATAGTTTGATGAGGCACCAGCATTCTTTGGAAGAGAAGTCAAAAGACCTTGCAAAATTACAACTCCCATGTTTCCATAGCACAGACCTTGGCACTTAAAGTGATGTCAAACTGCATTCATTCTACAGTGTGGATGCACCCTAAGTAAAGGGATCTCATATGATAGTTAACAGAGGACCCTTCTACATAGCTGAAAAAAAATCCCACATTATCTGCTTTGAACTAAAATATATGGCAGTGTGGACTCAGATAACCTGGAGCCCTTCCACACAGCCCTATATTCCAGAATATCAAGGCAGAAAATCCCACAATATCAGCTTTGAACTGGGTTATCTGAGTCCAGACTCAGATAATGTGGGATTTTCTGCCTTGATATTCTGGGATACAGGGCTGTGTGGAAGGGCCCCCAGTTCAAAGCAGATATTGTGGGATTTTCTGCCTTGATATTCTGGATGATATGGCTGTGTGGAAGGGCCCCCACTTTTTAAACTTGCCTTCTTTATATGTTAAGAGCTGTACAACTTTAGAAAAGCATGGAAAACCCTTCATTAAGTGACCACAACTGTTGCCTTGCAAGATTGAAAAACAATTCTGAACGTGAACCTCTCCTAAGAGGTTCCATCTGGAAAAAAAGAGGATGGATTCAAACTGTCATGGAGGTGACATTTTGCACTCAGAACAGAAGGGAGATCCATTTGGATCCTAAACCTGGCTCATCACATTCACCTGTCCAGCAATGGTGATGGTGCTTTGAAGCAAGGGTTGGGACCTCTTATTAACACTCCAGGACTACCATCAAGCGATTATGCCTGCCTGAGGGAACGAACTGCCACAAAACAATGTGTTGTCGAAGGTTTTCATGGCCGAAACCACTGGGTTGCTGTAATTTTTCTGAGCTGTATGGCCATGTTGCAGAAGCATTCTCTCCTGACGTTTCACCTGCATCTATGGCAGGCATCCTCAGAGGTTGTGAGGTCAACCTCTGAATGGTTCTGGAACATGGCCATACAGCCCAAAAAACTTACAGCATCCCTGCTACAAAACAGCCCCACACAAGCCAAATGTTGCCACTTTTCCAAACAGAAGGTACATGTACACTGTGGAAGTTTGACATCAATTGAAATGCTCAGTGGTATGAAATCCTGGGAGGTTTTTTTTGGCAGAGGGAGCTAAAGAACTCGCAAAACTACAACTCCAAGGATTCCTTAGCATTGTGTCATGGCAGTGAAAATAGGGTCAAAATGGCACTCATTCCACATGTAGATAGATTAGACATGGGCACACTTGGGCCCTCCCTTCAGACGTTTTGGACTCCAACTCCCACCATTCCTAACTGCCTCAGGCCCCTTCCCTTCCCCCCTCAGCCACTTAAGCAGTTGAGGGGGGAAAAGTAAAGAACATGAGGCTGTTAGGAATGGTGGGGGTTGGAGTCCAAAACACCTGGAGGACCCAAGTTTGCCCATGCCTGTTCCATAGCCTTGAAAGAGAGTTCACCAAACTACAACTTCCCTTGTTCCATAGAGGAGGGGAAAAAGAAAGGGCCTGAGGCTGTTAGGTATGGTGGGAGTTGGAGTCCAAAACACCTGGAGGACCCAATTTTGCCCATGCCTGTTCCATAGCCTTGAGAGAGCACTCACCAAACTACAACTCCAATTGTTCCATAGAAGAGGGGAAGAGGAAAGGGCCTGAGGCTGTTAGCAATGGTGGGAGTTGGAGTCCAAAACACCGGGAGGACCCAAGTTTGCCCATGTCTGTTCCATAGCCTTGAGAGAGAGCTCACCAAACTAAAACTCCCCTTCTTCCATAGAAGAGGGGAAAAGGAAAGTGCCCGAGGCTGTTAGGAATGGTGGGAGTTGGAGTCCAAAACACCTGGAGGAGCCAAGTTTGCCCATGCCTGTTCCATAGCCTTGAGAGAGAACTCACCAAACTACAACTCCCCATGTTCCACAGAGGAGTGGAAAAGGAAAGGGCCTGAGGCTCTTAGGAATAGTGGGAGTTGAAGTCCAAAATACCCGGAGGGCCCAAGCTTTCCCATGCCTGTTCCATAGCCTTGAAAGAGTGCTCACCAAACTACAACTCCCCTTGTTCCATAGCCTTGAGCCCTGGCAGTTCAACTGCATTCATTCCCCAGTGGAGATGCACCCAAGGGTCACTCTAGGAGGGAGATGTAACCCTTTCCCCTCTTCCTCCCCAGAACACATCTCCTCCCCTTTCTTACCACATTATTGAGGAAATCGGACTCATTGAGGTCGCCCAGGTCCAGGAAACTGGGGGCGCCCCCGGGGAAGAGGCGCTCCGAGGGGAAGGGCTCCAGGAGGCTGTCCATGGTGGGGATGCTCTGGATGTGGAGGGGTCCTTCCTCCTCCTCCTCTCCCTCCTCACTCTCTGGAAGCCCCTCGCGGCGGATGCCCTGGAGCTAAGCCTCCCGCTTCTCGGGGGATCTGGTAATCCATGAGGCTGGGAAGAAGATGCGGTGGGAGAGAGGGAGAGAGGGAGAGAGGGAGAGAGGGAGGGAGGGAGGGTCTGCAGGAGGGAGCGGCGCCTTCCTCTCCGCCGGGATCCCTGCCCTGCTGTCACCGTCACACACAGCCACTGAGTCTCAGCAGCCAGCAGCAGCAGCTCTCGAAACCACGCCCACCAGCCCTGAGCGCTCATGAATATGCAAAATTCCAGCGGCCTCGAGAGACAGGCACCCTGCCAATCAGGCAACGCGAAGGCCCGCCCCCAATCCTCCCGCGCGGCCAATGGGAGCCCCGAGTGGAGCCAAAGCCGAACTAGGCGTGCAATGAAAGCAGTTTGACACCTTGAGGGGAGCTCCATATGACAACAGTACTTGAGGGGAGCTCCGTATGACAACAGTAAGATAACTTAAACAGACCTAAATGCCTTTCCTTTCAACAAAATAATTTGAATGCTGGACTAGACCAAACACACTGTGTTGCTGATAAGCTAATAAGCCCGGTGGCAACAACATGAGGAGAAAGAAACGCCTGAGAGAAGCAGAAAATAATACTCCCCCATCAGCTCCTACACCCAAACAAAAGAGAATCTCTGACTTCTGTTCAAACCGCTTCTCGGCTCTTGCAGAAAGAGAAATTGGGGAACATGGGGAAAATGAGAGTCTGAAAGAGCACAAAGGGAGTGCTGCAAAAAACCCAGATTTGCCAAACAACAATAGTAACAAGCATAGCAGCAAAGAAGACAAAAGTGTTCAAACATCTGAGCTAGTGGGTGAGCCAAGCTACTCTCACATGCTCCAACTGGTTGCTACCACTGTTGAGCACTTATACAACAAACTTAGAGATCTCAACCTCAAAGTTGACTCCATTATCACAACCCAGAAAGAAAGAAAGCAACTGAGACAGACCACTTGTGAGTCAGCCTCAAAAAAACCTAACTGCAAAGAGCCTACTTTGCATTTACATAAGATAGCAAACTCCTCAAAACTGGTACTTTCACCTAAAAAAGTCTGCTTAACAGTTTGCCACTACAGAGGAATGCTTCCCCCCTGGAACAACATCTACCACTCTAGAAGACATCTGCAACATCTGCTGAAAAGAGAAGTGAAAAAAATTGATCTCCACTCTGTAGAAACACTGAGCTCTGACTACCATCATACAAGGGTGCTACTAAGCTTCTCCTCAGAACATATACCTTCACTACTGCTGCGCTTAAGATCTAATCTTGCAGCAAAAGGCCTCTTYCCAAGCCRAGTGTTTYTCAATAACAGGATKSTTCCYCTCATCTCCAGAGTCAAACACTCTTCAGCAGAGCACAGGRAGCTTAAAGGGATACACTCCTGAGATGCAGGCCCTACATTTGGAAAAMCCCTCTAAGGACTACTCTATGGATATTGAAACCCATGATCCTGAAACTGCAGATCTAATTACCCTGGACTACGAGACCCCWGGGAACTGTGTTGMGCTGYCCAACCCCAGTGCCAATTCTCCACCTAGAATCTTTACAACAGCATCAATCGAAGCCCCAACCAAACCCCACTCCATTAGTGACAATGCACCTTCCAAACCCACTACCTGCCTAATCGAGGTAAGCCTGGAAACGGGTCCTGCCAACAATATACTGATGCTGAATAAGGAGGAGAACGAGGCCGCCACCTTGACCCCAGTACAGTGCCTGGTACCAGAATTGCCAACGCTAAAACAGAACAAACCTATTACGGAAGAACAGCCTCATCGACAACACTCAGAAAAGAAAAGAGACCCCTACAACAACTGTGTGTTCACTGGGGACATTGGTGGCATCGCACAAGTTGCAGATATAAATTGACTATCAGAACCTCCACYGCTTACACCAYCAGGCAAGAATAAACTCAGCATTCTGACATKGAATATTGCAGGRTGGAAGTCCTCCAYWAAAGATCCCYCTTTCCYAGACTAYCTASCCCAGCACCATATCATATTAATGCRGGAAACCTGGGMARTAGATTATATATCAAGYAATGGATTCCAAGCCTACTCAACAAAGGCAGAACCCCCAAATAGATATGGGAGAGCCAAAGGAGGKTTAACAATCCTAATCTCCAACAAGCTATGGGTAAAGGTAACATCTCTTCCCCCGCTAATGTCAAATGCCATGGCCATCTTAATCCAACTTACTAACCACAAAGTGCTGATAATAAATGCCTACATACCCCCTATGAGGAAGAAAGCCCAAGTTAAAGCTGCATGGATGGAGCTAGAATCCTACGTTGAGGACCTTATAATGCAGAATCCTGATGCATCTATAGTGCTGGGAGGCGATCTCAACGCAAGGATGGGCCCAGATGACCTCTCTCTCTATAAGCAGCAGAACTGCCCACCGCCAGCCTGTGAGGATGAAGAACCCCTTCTGCCCCGCTGGTCCAAAGACCAGAAATCGAATTTTGCAGGCCTATGCTTAGCCAGAACAACATATAGGCTAAATCTTCACATCTTAAATGGGGCGCTGAAAGGAGATTATCCAGGTGAATTCACCTTCCTCTCAGGTGAAAAAACTAGCACTATTGACTATATAGCAATCTCTAGGGATTTTATCCCCTATGCTAAAACTCTTAAAGTTATGTCTAAACCTGAGAGTGATCATTTTCCAGTTCTGCTTCAATTACATCTTCCCCCCCAGGAAATCCATTTAACGGAATCCTATAAATCTTCGATACAGCCTACAGAAGGATCCTATAAGCGAGCCAAATGGACCCCACACATGAATCAAAGAATAACAGACCTGCTGGTGACAGAGCGGCTTACGAGCCTCCGCACTTCTCTGATCTCTGCAGAAACTCCCAATGTACTCATGGAAACTTACAGAAACATTGTCCAAGAGCTCCAAATTCAGTTACGCCAGGGCAATAATACAGAGGGGACACAGCTACTGCATGAATATGCAAAATTCCAGCGGCCTCGAGAGACAGGCACCCTGCCAATCAGGCAACGCGAAGGCCCGCCCCCAATCCTCCCGCGCGGCCAATGGGAGCCCCGAGTGGAGCCAAAGCCGAACTAGGCGTGCAATGAAAGCAGTTTGACACCTCTTGAGCTCCCATGGCTCAACCCACTTGCCCTGCCGTGGAGAGGGGAGGTTTGGGCCCCTCCACACAGCCTTATGGCCCAGAACATCAAGGCAGAAAATCACACAATATCTGCTTTGAACTGGGTTATCTGAGCCCACACTCAGATAATGTGGGGTTACCTGCCTTGATGTTCCTTGTTGTTTATTCGTTCAGTCGCTTCTGACTCTTCGTGACCTCATGGACAGGGGCGGCTCATCCATTATGCGAAGTAAGCGGTCGCAGAACACTTTTTTTGCCAGGGGCGCAGAGGCACCTTTGTAAATGCCCCTCAACCGCCACTTGAGGAGCGCCCCCTCAGCTCACAACAGCCCTAGCAGTCCGGGGGGAGCCTCGGCTTTCTTGCCTCGCTGCCGGGCGATCCTCTTCCCAAAGGGGCCGGGCCCTTGAGCCTCGCCTAGCCCCTCTCGTTCCTGCTCCACCCGGCCACCGGGTGCGTGAGCAGAGCCGGCGCTCAATCGTTCTCCGCGTTCGATCCCTTCCCCATGACCGGCTCCCTTTCCCGATCCCCCGGCGCTCCACCCGCCTCCTCTCCCCAATCCGCGGGTGGGCCAAGGGGCGGAGCTGCCGCGTCTGGTCCGCTTCAGGTCCAGAGGCGTGTCTGAAGACCCCAGCGTGCGCACCAAAAGTCGCCTCTTCTCCTGACTTTCTCTTCAGCCATTGGGACCAAGAGAGAGAGAGAGAGAGCCCCTCCGGCTGGAGGTATCTCCCACCTCCGCTCCCTCCTTTGTTTTTGTGCCTACTTTCAGGAAAGGTGGGCATCTCCACCTCTCTCTCTCTCTCTCTCTCTCGGTCCCAATGGCTGAGGAGAAAGTCAGGAGAAGAGGTGACTTTTGGTGCACACGCCGGGGTCTTCAGGCACGCCTCCGGACCCAAAGCGGGCCAGGCAAGGGAGCAAGTGCGGCAAGTGTAGTTACTGGAATGTATAGTTCACCTACAATCAAAGAGCATTCTGAACTCCACCAATGATGGAATTGAACCAAATATGGCACACAGAACTCCCACGATGAACAGAAAATATATATCAATGATTGGTTGGGGGGGGGGGGTGCCAAAATACTGTTTGCTTACCATTGAAAATTACCTAGGGCCGCCTCTGCTCATGGACCAGCCCACGCCAGAGCTCCCTGTCGGCCGTGGCCACGCCCAGCTCCTTCAAAGTCAAGCAAGTCACTTCAAGGATATCATTTATCTATCTTGCCCTTGGTCGGCCCCTCTTTCCTTTGCCTGCCATTTTCACCAGCATCATTGTCTTCTCCAAGCTTTCCTGTCTTCTCACTATGTGGCCAAAGTACTTCATTGTTGCCTCTGATATCCTTCCCTCCAGTGAGCAGTCGGGCTTTATTTCCTGAAGTATGGACTGGTTGGATCTTCTCGAGGTCCAAGGCACTCTCAGAACTTTCCTCCAACACCACAGTTCAAAAGCATCTATCTTCCTTCGCTCAGCCTTCCTTATGGTCCAGCTCTCACATCCATAGGTTACTACGGGAATACCATTGCTTTAACTACATAACTACCTTACAGCCTTATAACCCAAAATATCTAGGCAGAAAATCCCACAATATTTTCTTTGAACTGGGTAATGTGGGATTTCCTGCCTTGATGTTGCTTGTTATTCATTCAGTCGCTGCCAACTCTTCCTGACCTCATGTACCAGCTCACACCAGAGCTCCTTGTCGGCCGTGGCCACCCCCAGCTCCTTCAAAGTCAAGCAAGTCACTTCAAGGATATCATCCATCTATCTTGCCCTTGATCAGCCCCTCTTCCCTTTTCCTTCCATTTTCCCCAGCATCATTGTCTTCTCCAAGCTTACCTATCTTCTCATTATGTGGCCAAAGTACTTCATTGTTGCCTCTAATATCCTTCCCTCCAGTGAGCAGTCGCATATTATTTCCTGGAATATGGACTGGTTGGATCTTCTCGCAGTCCAAGGCAATCTCAGAATTTTCCTCCAACACCACAGTTCAAAAGCATCTATCTTCCTTCGCTCAGCCTTCTTTATCCTCCAGCTCTCATATCCATAGGTTACTACAGGGAATACCATTGCTTTAACTATGCAGATCTTCATTG